ATTTTTATTCTTTTTAGAATGAAATCCTCCCATTTGCAATGACATGGATGGAGCTAGACAGTATTATGCTAAGAAAAATAAGTCAGTCATAGAAAGACAAATACCATATGATTTCACTCATATGTGGGATTTAAGAAACAAAACAAACGAGCAAAGGGGAAAAAAAAAAAAAGAGAGAGGGAGGCAAACCAGCAGAACAAACTGCTGGTTACGAGAGGGGAGGCAGGTGGCGGGGATGGGTAAAACAGGTGATGGGGATTAAGGAGTGCACTTGCTGTGATGAGTATCTGATGTTTTATGGAAATGTTGAATCACTACATCGTATACCTGAAACTAATATTACACTGTATGTACACTAACTGGAATTTAAATAAGAACTTTTAAAAAGTCAAGGTTTTTCTTCTTAGACACAAGATGATGCTAAAAGTCATGTTTTTAAAAATGCAAAAGGGCGCCTGGGTGGCTCAGTCGGTTAAGTGTCTGCCTCCAGCTCAGGTCATGCTCCCAGGGTCCTGGGATTGAGTCCTGCACTGGACTCCCTGCTCAGCGGGGAGCCTGCTTCTCCCTCTCTCTCTCTGCCTCTCCATGCTCACTCGCTCTCTCTCTCAAATAAATAAAATATTTTTAAAAATGCAAGAATAGCTAGGAAATCCCTGAAAAAAATAGCTATGAGGGGCAACAGGCCTATCAAATATTAAAATATGCTCATGAGGCACCTATGTGGTGCAGTTGGTTAAGCTTCCGATCTTGGTTTTGGCTCAGGTTGTGATCTCACCATGGTGAGGTTGAGCCCCGAGTGGGGATGGGGATCCCCACTAAGCAGGGAGTCTGCTTGAGATTCTCTCTCTCTCTCCCCCTCTCTCTCTTGCCCCCCCACTCTGTGCACTAGCGCTTTCTGTCTATAATAAGTAAATCTTTAATAAATATATATACACACTCACAAGTGTCTATAATTCAGTGTGGTACTGGTACATGAATGATAGGTCAGTGGAATGTAACAAAATCCAGATGTTAACCCAACTCCTTATGGAAATCTAGTGTATAATAAAGATAGTATTTCAAATCAAGCAGGGGGCAAAGGTTGACGTTTTAGTAAATGATGTTGGGATAATTGGATAGATATTTGGAAAAAGATGAAATTAGATCTGTTCCTCACACTATATACAATTCTGTCTGCCCTTCAGAGTTTACATTCTAAGGGGTTTGGGGAAGACAATAAAGTAAATAAATTACATTTATAATAAAAAATGGTAAGTGCTAGGAGAAAGGTATATAGGGAAGGGGAATAGGGAAAGAGAAGTAAGGTGCAGAGTCTGCATTTACAATATCTAAAAGTAGGGGCAGAAAAGGCCTACTGATATGAATACTAGCATTTGAACAAAGACTTGATAACACAGAGCAAGTCATGTACATAGACTTCATTCCAAACTAGGTAAAAGCAGAAAATTACAAGCCAATCTCAGTCATGAAAATGGACACAAAATGCTGTATAAACCAAACATAGCAACATGCTTAAAAAGCTAATATATCATGATCAACTTGGGTTTATCACAGGAATGTAGGTTTGGTTTAACATTAGAAAAACATATGAATCTCATTTACCACATTAACAAAATAAAGAGGAAAGATCATTTCAACAAAGATAATTAAATAAAATGCAGCACTCATTCATGATTTAAAACAGAATGACAAACAAGCAAACAAAAAACTTACTGAACTACAAGTAGAAGCTACATTTGCCAAAAGAGCAAGTACCTACATACAGCATCAACATTGTTAGTAGAAACCTTAGAAACATGACCTTTAAAATAGGGAAGAATGTTCAGTACTGATGCTTCTATTCATCTCTATACTAAACATTCTAGCAAGTACAGTCAGAAAAGAAAGAAAAAAAAAGCCTAAGAATTAGAAACAAAAATGTCATTGTTCACAGATGATATGATTATACACTCAGCCTCTACAACTTATATCCAGCTGGATATAAGAATAAGATCAATATCAGAAATCAATTGGATTTTTAGATACCAGCAATAACAATATAATTTATAAATAAGTCTAATAACAGTGCAAACCCTGTATAGAGAAAAAAAGGACTAACTTTATTGATTGATATTAAAGAAGTTCTAAATAAATGGAAAATACGCTATATTCAAGAACAGGGAGACTTCATTTCCTCAAACTGAGCTCTAGATTCAGTGCAATTCCAACAGGTTTGTTTGTTGTTGTTTTTTTTTTATGGAACTTGGAAAACAGATTCTAAAATTTACATGAAAACAAAAGTTCAAGAATACACAGAATACTCCTGAAGAAAATAAGGTATGAGACTTGCCCTATTAGATAACAAAGATAGGGCAACCCCTTTGGGTCGCCTCCCTTCTTGGGAGCTTTGTACTATCACTTTGCTATCGCTCAATAAACCTTCCTTTGCTGCCCACCAAAAAAAAAAAAAAAAGATACCAAAGATATAATAAAGCTGGAATGATGAAAACTGTGGTTTTGGCACAGGGATAGGCAGACTCGCCAGCGGAACAGGTTAAAGTTGCAAACTCAAAAACATGTAGAAACTTATACAAAGGAACATAGCTCTTATAGGGAAAGTATGCACTATTCAATAAAGTGGGTTCCACACGGGGCAAAAAAAGTAATTGGATCCTACCCTGATAGCAGGCACAAAAATCGATTCTAAATGAACAAAGACTTAAAAAATAAAAAATAAAACTTAAAACCTTTGTATTTTTATGACTTTAGGATAAAGATGTTTCTTTGAAAAGATACAGAAAAAGTAATAAAGATTAATATCCAGCATATATAAAGACTTATAAATCAACCAAAAAAAAAAAACCTCAAATAGGTATTTTGAGGAAAAGGAAATGCAAACAGCAAATAAGTATAACAACAGTTTAATTTTATGAGTGATTGGAGAAATATAAATTTGCAGAGCCCAAAGCAGTATCATTTTATACCTGCTAGAATGGCAAAAATAAGAAGCCTGACTATACCGGGGAGCCTGGATGGCTCAGTCGTTAAGCATCTGCCTTCTGCTCAGGTCATGATCCCAGGGTCCTGGGTTCAAGCCCCACATTGGGCTCCCTGCTCCACGGGAAGCCTGCTTCTCCCTCTCCCATTCACCCTGCTTGTGTTCCCTCTCTCGCTGTGTCTCTGTCAAATAAATAAATAATATCTTTAAAAAAGAAAGAAATCTGACTATACCAAGTGGTGAGTATACTAAACAATGGGAACTCACTCTGTTGGTGGGGACATAAATTGGAAACCAGTTCAGCATTACTGAGTATCATCCATTTTACGACCTACCAACTTCACACCTAGATTCTCTGCAAAAACTTTAGCATATATGCATGAGATCAGAATTTCATAGTGGCACTGTTTATATAGGCTATGCTCTGAAAGCAACCCACATGCGCACGGTCAAGAAAATCAATGAATAAATTGTGGAAGTGAGGCACAATAAAATGTCATACAGCAGTGAAAATGAAAGAAATATGGCTACAGCTAATAATAGATTCTTAGTGACATGCGAAGAGTGGCAGAATATTACAAAATGTTTTTTTGGTTTTTTTTTTAGGTATCACCCAAACACAAAACCAAGCAAGGTTAAGGACACTTACGTGTAGTAACAAAACGTAGAAAATGGGAGGGATGACGATTTACACTTTCTCAGGATAATTAAAACAGTATCTCTGAAAGGGAATTAGGGGCGGGGATAGGATGGAAAGGATTTCCTGAGAAAATGCCAAGGGTTCTGGTACAATTCTACTTCACAAATTAGATCATATGTTCATCATGTTTCGTAACGTATATATTCTGCAACTTTCAAATATAAAAATTTAAAAACTTAAGTGAAAAAAAAAAACTAGACAGGAATATACCTCAGGGGCGCTAGGCAGCGTAGGCCATGCCCCGCCGCAAGGCGCTCTGGGTCAGCAGTCTCGTGGTCAGTTGCCCGTGGGGGCGGAACCTGTGGCCTTCTATACGCACGCGCGCAGCCACCAGCCAATCAGCGACGCCCTCAGGCGAGACGACTCTGGCTTTTCTCCCGCGTGAATTCTGAGTTGCTTCAGAGGAGCGTCGCGCTAGCCAAGTGTACGCCTCAGGTGAGGAGCTGGAAGGGGTGGAGGCTGGTGGCAGGGACACCTGTCTGGAGACCTATACCTGTGGGTGGTCTTTGGCCGTTGGGGTTTTTTTTCAGGCGTGAGAAGGGGAGGACTTTGTCAAGCGCGAGAGTCTGAGCCAGAGGCTACTCTTGATCTGTGAGGTAAATCTTTCCTATTGGCTCTACTTGGGGCCTCTGACAGGAAAATGAAGTCAGTGAACTTCACTGAGGGCAGGGCCTTGAGCAGGCGAGGGGCGGGTGGAAAGGCGAGGGCTGAATGGAGTCTGACTGGTCACGACGCCCTGGGCAAGTTTATATCCTCCGGGGAGCAGTGTGGGCCTTCGTCCCTCTGCGCGTCTCTCCCTGGTGACCGCCCCAAACCCGTCAGAAACAGAACGAACTAAGGGCTTCTCTTCCTTTGTCCTCGATGTCTGTGTTGTGAAAATCTTAGGCGTAATCGTTATTTCTCAAAGCACAGATTGCAGAACGTTTTTATTTTATATTTATTTTGCTGTAAACTTATTTTGGGGCATGCTCACGGGATCGAACCTGTCAACAACTACAATTTCACTTTGTGACGGAATTGCACAAACTAGAATCTAGCCCGAATTTAGCCAGAATCTGACAGAGGCTGGATTAAAATTCAGATCTCATAGCCCTCGGATGCCAACTCTCCATCGCCGCACACCTGGAATCAGGGTCGATGCTGTCATTATCTTCTTTGTGAATTTGGGGCCAACAAAATATAGTGAGGAGACTCCTAAAATGTTATTCAACTAAGACAAGCTCTATTTGATATCGCTAATTTTGAAATTTACCAATTTACTTACATGGTGTCTTTGGATTCAGAAGGTTTTGAGAGATTTATTTTTTTAAAAGTCAGAAAACATCTAAATATGGTGCCTTCTGGAAGAAAACATACAGGGAAATCTGGGAAGACATCAATGGAGGATCAGGTTACAAGAGCCTATGACTTTGAGAAAGAAGATAAAAAAGATCTGAGTGGTTCAGAGGAGGATGTTACTGAAGGTACAGTATATCTAATTTTGTTGGGCAGTCACCATGTCCTGTAGTTCATTCGTCTGGGAGGCACTACGTTTTAGACTATAATAAAACTTTATTTGTAAAGCATTTTCATGTACTTCATGTTTCTCATTTGGAGTTCGAAAAGTTTACACAGCATCTCTTACCTTTATAGTCATTATTCTCCAGATGTCTGCTTCATAAATAAATAAGTAAACTTATCTATAGCATAAATATATATAATATATAAAAATAAATAAGAACCTGGCTTACTATGACATTAACACAGGAAGGCTTGCAAAATTGTTTCTATAAAATGGTCCTGGATCCTGATTTAATTCCATCCAAACTGCAGAGCAAGTACTGTATTTATATCTGCTTTAAAAAGTTATGTTGGCAAAAAAGCCTAAAAGTCCTCAAAATTAAGATATTACACCATTAAAAATTACTAAAATGGAATATTTAGTTTCAAAAATATTTTCTTTTTTATTGTCAATGCAGGGAAGACTCCAGTAATTGATAAGCATGGGAAGAAAAGGACTTCTGCAGCAATATTTGAAGATGTGGGGTGATGTGCTCAAAATAGTTTTTTCTGTTACATAAAGTCCTTTAAGAAAAGTCTACTTTGGTTGTCCAATGAGTATTGTTGTAAAATACATTGTATGTGTGATATTTCAATCTTTAATTAAAAATTTTTTAATGTAATTTCACAGGGGTGAAGTACAAAATATGCTGGAAAGATTTGGAGGTATGTTTTAGGAGATACTTGTTTTTTGAGATAATTATTTTAAACCATACAACACATAATCTGTAATAGGAAATGTTAATCAGTGGACTATAAGACTGTTACCTAATGCTTTGTCCTCATATATAAGATTTTGCCTAAGTATGTGTGATTCAGCTACATAGATTTCCTTAATCTTCTCCAGTTGTCAACGTGAAGAGTAAAATGGTATTAACAATGGTGAGGTAAGAATGGTGTTTTTATTTTATATATGTGTGAATTTAGAGAACTGTGCAATTTTAGAAAAAAATGGAAGGGGAATGTCTCTATCCCTATTTGTATGAACTTTCACAAATTCATGGACCAAGTGTTAAAAACACACATATCTTTATGTATGTCAGTTTTTCATTTTCTCAATTTAGTTATTTTCTATGACATTCCTGTGTTTTTTTTTTTTTTAAAAGATTTTATTTATTTATTTGACAGAGAAAGAGAGACAAGGAGAGAGGGAACACAGGCAGGGGGAGTGGGGGAGGGAGAAGTAGGCTTCCCACGGAGCAGGGAGCCTGATACGGGGTTCGATCCCAGGCCCCCCGGATCATGACCTGAGCCGAAGGCAGACGCTTAACGACTGAGCCACCCAGGTGCCCCACCTGTGTTCTTTTCTTAGGGGCAGTATAAATAGAACCCTTTAAAATACCTCTTTATTCTAATGTTTTACATTATTAAACTATGTAGTTTAGAAAAGTAACCCTGCTAGCTAGTAAGAAATACATAATCAGATAAAAAGTTAATAAACCGAGGCGCTTGGGTGGCTCAGTCGTTCAGGGTCTGCCTTCGGCTCAGGTCATGATCCCGGGGTCCTGGGATTGAGCCCCGCATCAGGCTCCCTGCTCTGCGGGAAGCCTGCTTCTCTCTCTCCCACTCTCCCTGCTTGTGTTCCCTCTCTCACTGTGTCTCTCTCTGACAAATAAATAAATAAAATCTTTAAAAAAAAAAAGTTAAACCTTACATGGTATATTTGATATTAGTTACATTAACTGTGTTAGGGGATAGTATTCTTTTTTTTTAAAGATTTTATTTATTTATTTATTAGAGAGAGAGAGAGCACACATGAGCCAGGGGAGGGGCAGAGGTAGAGGGAGAGAAGCAGACTCCCTGCCAAGCAGGGAGCCCAACACAATGTGATCTCTAGGACCTGGAGATTTTGACCTGAGCCAAAGGGGGACATTTAACTGACTGAGCACCCAGGTGCCCCAGGGAATAGTATTCTTAAAAACGAGTTAATATTTGGCTCCTCTATCTGGATTATTTATTCAGTCAAGTCTTTTTTGAAAGCTTTGCTCTATTTGGTGGCAGAAAAATGTTTGTTTTATAATCTTTCTTCTAAATTTATCACAGGTGGATATTAGAAATATAACGTATTTGTATGGTAATACAAATCCATCATGATTACTGAAAAATAATTATTGATGGTAGATTCATAGGCATGTGTTTAGCAAAGCATTTTTTGAAGTATTAAAAATTTTATGAAATACAGTATTTATGGGTAAAAATGTCCTATAAAAAAAAGCTCCTGAAATCATTGTTATACACCTGATACTAATGTATAACATTGTATGTCAACTATACTTCAGTAAGAAAAAAATTTTCTTTTAGTAAGTCCAGGAAAAAAAAGTTCTATAAAAGTATTTAAAAAGGTTCTTGAATGAATTTATCAAGATATTTACTTAAGATTTTCCTATGCTTCGTTTTTATCTCTTTTGGTAAAAATCGTATTTAAAAGTATCACGGACTGTATTTTTTAAAAATAATTCTCTTATTTAACTGTTTTTATCCTTTTTGGATTCTTTTTAGATTTTTTATTTATTTTTGTGAGAGAGAGAGCACAAGGGGAGGAGAGGGTGGCAGGCAGAGGGAGAGGCAGACTCCCCGCTGAGCAGGGAGCTCTGATGCAGTACTCCATCCCAGGACCCTGGGATCATGACCTGAGCCCACGGAGGACACTTAATCGATTGAGCCACCCCTTTTTGGATTCTTTTTAAAAATAATTTTGTGTGTTTCATATGATGAGTTCTAGCAATAACTCATCTACATGAGTTCTTTGATTTGAAGAGTATTTTACAAATTTAGAAAAATTTAGCCTTTATTAGTGTTCTCTCATGAGGAAGTTAAAGGTCTGTCTTTGGGCGCCTGGGTGGCTCAGTTGGTTAAGCGACTGCCTTCGGCTCAGGTCATGATCCTGGAGTCCCGGGATCAAGTCCCACATCGGGCTTCCTGCTCAGCAAGGAGTCTGCTTCTCCCTCTGACCCTCTTCCCTCTCATGCTTTCTATCTCTCATTCTCTCTCTCTCAAATAAATAAATAAAATCTTTAAAAAAAAAAATAAAGGTCTTTGAGACTCCCCTTTCTTTTTTCATGGTTAGCTTTTTTCAGTCATCTCTAAATTAAAAACTTTAGTTAGGAAAATCAAAATAGGGATACTAATAGCTGAAAGTTTTCTTAGGAAAAAAAAACAAATAATCTTGCTTTTTAATATTATACCTACTTTAAGATTTAATATAAATTTTTTCAAAATTTTATTTATTTTTTTGTCAGAGAAAGAGATTGAGAGAAAGAGAGAGAGAGTACGAGCAGGGGGAGCAGCAGGCAGAGGGAGAAGCAGGCTTCTCGATGAGCAAGGAGCCCAATGCGGGACTTGATCCCAGGATCATGACCTGAACCAAAGGCAGAGGTTTAACCTACTGAACCACCCAGGCATCCCTAAGATTCTTTTTTAAATGTCTTTCCAAAACTTGAACCAACTGTATCCCTATTTAATTTGGATGTGTGGGAACAAAATAATTTTCAACAAGTTTTAATGAATGTTTGTTTTCGATAAAGCTGACATTAACAAGGCTCTTCTTGCCAAGAGAAAAAGACTAGAATTGTATACAAAGGCTTCTCTCAAAACTAGTAATCAGAAAATTGAACATGTTTGGAAAACCCAACAAGAGCAAAGGTAAGGTCGTTGGTTTTTTTCACAGCCATGACATTTGTATCATTTCTTAGTATTCATTGCTGTAAATTATGAAAAATACTATCATCTTCTATTTATCAGGGTCTCTAGTAAAATATATATTTGGCTTGATTTTTTTTAAGTCCTTTAGTTCTATAACCTTTATAGACTTGAGATATATTTCTTAGCAATCAATGCAGATTGTCTTTTTCTCCATTTAAATAACAATTGAGTTTTTTACTCTAAAGGTTATTCATATTCATTCTAGAAATGCACCAACTGAATAAAAATGAAATGTCATTTAAATTATTAGCCTTGTGATAGTTACCTGCTTAACAATGTAGAAAAAGATGTCTTATTGTAAATATTACATCTGTGTGTTTTAGCTGAATTGACTTAATTGTTCTTTTTTACAAAATCATTTTACCAAAGTGGGGAAAAATTAAGTGGAATATTTGTTTGGAAATCTTACATGATAAACATAATAACTTCACTGAATCTATTTATCATGTCGGAACCTATATTTGGTTGGAAAAAATAAAAAACTGCTTGGAGATGAAATGGACTTTTCTGGAAAAGTTACATATATAATAAAATTTCCATAGTTTTTAGGAACTAAAGCATGTGAGAGGGCTTTTCTGTTAGCTGGTTAGGAAAAGAAATACTTCCAAAATGAGCATAAATCATAATTTTACATTTTGGTTTCATATTTGAAAATTTAAGATGCCATTATTTCCTTTAGTATTTATAAAGTATGTCAAATAAATTTTGTTTTGAATGTTTTGGTATAAAATATGAAAATATTCATTGTTACGTTTTACAGGCAGAAGCTTAACCAAGAATATTCTCAGCAGTTTCTGACTTTGTTTCAGCAATGGGATATAGATGTGCAGAAAGCTGAGGAACAAGAAGAAAAACTAGCTGTTAGTATCACACTTAATTTTATAATCAATTATAACCAAGTGTCAAGTAGGAATGGAGAGCCTAGCTGTGTAGTAGATCTGTGACACTCAGCTAGGTTCCATTTCCCATGCCGGCTATGTGTTTTGGTCCTGCTGAATGGTAAACCAGAGAATTACAGGCACATACCGTACTTACAAAAATTGTTGGCCTTTGCTTCCTATACTGGTTGTGATCCTTGCAGTTCCAAGTGACAAATTATCAAAGTACAAAAGAAGGATTATTAGTTTATATAAAAGAAGTCCAGGGGTAGTTAAGCTTCAGGCATAGGTGGATGGGTATAAGGAAGAATTGCTTATACAGTGTCATTTGGGCACTGTCTCCAGTTCTTTTTTTTTTTTTTAAGATTTAATTTTTTGAAGATTGATTTATTTGTCAGAGAGAGAGAGTGCACAAGCAGGGGGGAACAGCAGGCAAAGAGAGCAGGAGGCAGAGGAAGAAGCAGGCAAGACTTGATCCCAGGACCCTGGGATCATGACCCGAGCTGAAGGCAGATGCTTAACCAACTGAGCCACCCAGGTGTCCCTCTGTCTCCAATTCTTAATAGGCTCTTTCAGTGTGGTAAGCAAGATAGCTTCTTGAAATTTAACTTACTACAAGTTTAGTAACCCCAGTGGACTGGGTTTTTCTCAATAACTAGCAGAAAGATAGTTTTGCTCGATAACTGGCAGAAAGAAAAGTCCTCTGGAGGAATATCACTGATCTAGTTTGGATCATTTGCCCATTCCTGAACCAGTCATTATGGCAAAGCATGGTTTACTCTTAATGGCCAGACTTGTGTTACATGCCCATTTCTATGGGAGATGGGAGTGAGCACCACCCATATATTATGTAACTACATTTTAACTACCCTTTTATTTTATTCTTTCATTTATAAAATTATCACATTTCTTATTTAAGATCTCAGGTACTATTCATATTAAATAATTTTAGGGGTTGGTTGGGCAGCTCAGTTTTGGAAATGTTAATATGAAACATCCAAGAGAATGTGTTGAGTAGGCCATTGGTATAGGAGTCTAGAGTTCTGAAAAGAGATGAGTTGGACAGACAAAGTTGGGAATTCTCAACATAAAGACAGCATTTAGGCCATGAGATTGGATGAGATCACCAGGGGAGTGATTGTAAATGTAAAAGGGAGGTCTAAGAACTGAGTTCTGGAATAAGTCCTTCAGTGTTTAGAGTTCAAGAAGATGAGAGAGAACCAGTAAAAGAGACTGAGAATGAGTGACCTAATAGGAAAAAAATGACTCCAAGTGAAGTCAAGAAAGCCTTTTAAGAGGGAGAGAGGATTAACTTTGTTATATGCTGCAGTGGGTGAAATAGGGTGGCTTTGGCAAGGTGAAAGTTGTTGGCATTCTTGATCAGAATGATTTTGGTAGAAAAGGGAGTGCAAAAACTTGATTAAAATGAGTATAAGAGAGAATAGGAAAGAAAGAAATAGGGTGGTGGCCTGAGGAGAAGAGGAATAGTATGTGGTTTTCGTTTAAGAATGTAGAAAGAGCAACAGGTTTGTGTGCTAACAAGAATAATCTTGAGGGAAAAGTAAAAAGCAATGGAAAGAGGAGGACAGTTGTTGAATTCTTAGAATGGTTGGAACATATGAAGAAATTGGTGGTAGCAGAGAACAAGGATAGTTCATCCTTAAAAACAGGGAAGAAGGTAGATTATGTGAGCACAGAAGTAGGTATGAAGGTAGAAATGGTGATGAAGATTCAAAGTTCTCTTTGGATTACTTGTGTTTCTTTAGTGAAATAATTAAGGTCCGTGGATGATAGAAAAAACATGTTGCCTTTTGAGGTCAAATGAGAAGGTATAAAATACTTTCTTGAGTGGATCAGTGAATGGACTAGGGAGATAAAATTTCCAAGCAGCATTAAGGATCGAAGTTAGGCTTGTGATCACAGTGATCACAATTTAAAGTGAGACATACCAGCGTAATTGTGGGCTTTTCTCCAGTCATGACCAGCTGCAGGGATGTAGGCAGAGTAGCTGGAGAGTTGAATTTTCCAGGATTGGGGTTTAGCCAGACAAGTGTGACAGAGTAAGAATAGGGCAGGATATATATATGAAAGGAGTAATTATGATTGACCATAGAATTTAATCTGGGAAGAAAGAAAGTTAGGACATGGGAATAGGGATAGGGGACAATGAAAACTAGGTATAGGATGAGTAGATTTTAGGTATTGGTAGAGATTATTGAGTTGTAGTACTAAGAGTGAGCCAGAAGGGTAGGCAGGTAGTGGTTGAATAGTGGGCTATTAGGAGAAACAGCGTGAATAATGAGTGGTAGGACCTGGATTCTGGAAACATACTCCTTGGAATCACATCCTGGCATGCCCAAATGCTAGATGTGAAACTGGAAAAATTATCTTTATGTCTGTTTCCTTATCTATGAAAGGGGAGTAATAATACCTACCTCATAGAGTTGAGGATTAAATGCATTCATACATAGTATGTTTATTTAAAAAGAATTCAGGGGCGCCTGGGTGGCTCAGTGGTTAAGCGTCTGCCTTTGGCTCAGGTCATGATCCCAGGGTCCTGGGATCGAGCCCCACATCGGGCTCCCTGCTCCGTGGGAAGCTTGCTTCTCCCTCTCCCACTCCCCCTGCTTGTGTCCCTTCTCTTGCTTTGTCTCTCTCTGTCAAATAAATAATATCTTAAAAATAAATAAATAGATAAAAAGAATTCAGAGTGGTGTCTAACAGTTAATATGACATTTTCTATTGTTAATACTATGTAGAAGTTGTAGTTATTGGCAATGACAAAATCTAGGATATGAGCATGTATGTGAAATGGCTAAAGTAGGGTGGGGGACAAAACCATTGGTGGAAAGTAGGCCAAGAAACTGAAAGATCAGCATTATTGAAAGGATCATACATGTTGATACGGAAAGCACCAAGAATTAAAACATATTTTGAGTATTGTTGGGGTGCCTGGGTGGCTCAGTCAGGTAAGTGTCTGACTTTTTTTTTTTTTTAAGATTTTTTTTATTGAGAGAGAGAGAGAATGGTAGAGAGAGAGCATGAGAGGGAAGAAGGTTAGAGGGAGAAGCAGACTCCCTGCTGAGCAGGGAGCCCGATGTGGGACTCGATCCCGGGACTCCAGGATCATGACCTGAGCCGAAGGCAGTCGCTTAACCAACTGAGCCACCCAGGCGCCCTTAAGATTTTATTTATTTGTCAGAGAACGAGGGAGCAAGCATGAGCAGGGAAAGATGCAGGCAGAGGGAGAAGCAGGCTCCTTGCTGAGCAAGGAGTCTGCTGCTGGACTCGATGTGGGACTTGATCCCAGGACTCTGGGATCATGACCTGAGCTGAAGGCAGATGCTTAACCAACTGAGCCACCCAGGGGTCCCTAAGTGTCTGACTCTTGATTTCAGGGTTGTGAGTTTAAGCCCTGTTTTGGGCTCCACATTGGGCATGGAGCCTACATTAAAAGACAAAAACAAAACTATTTTGAGTATTGTTAAGTGTTCATACTAAATGACTGGTAGGATTATTATTGTATATTAGTGATGAACTTGGTCATAATAGTTAAAACTGTTGGTTTAAAAACCATTCCTTTTTAAGTTTAATGTAGAATTATTTTTTACTAAACTTTAAATTTTACCCAAATTGTTAAATTTTTTTCTTTTACATTTGTAGAACATGTTTCGACAACAACAAAAGGTTTTTCAACAATCTAGAATTGTTCAGAGCCAGAGACTGAAAACAATTAGACAGTTATATGAGCAGTTCATAAAGGTCTGTTGTATTTGGTTATGTAATACATTCTTATGTAACATTACATTTGGAAGTAGAAGAACATTTTTTCCTTCTAAGTTTAAGGGAAAAAACATTTTGCTTATATATTTTAAATTCTTAACTACTGTCCATTTTGATTTAAGTGTTAAATATATTTTTACTTTATGATTCTAATGTTTTTGTGGGGATTCTTCAAAACAGGAAATGGTAAATTGGGAATTTTATCTAAATGTATATAATGTGCATAAAATTCATACTTTAATAGTTCTGTCTTAACTGAAAATAGAAAGTCCATGAGTCATTTCTAGGTAGTCTTTTACTTGTCTTTGTATCTCCAGTGTTTGCTAAATAGAAAGTACCCAATTGAAAATGAGGAATATTTTTATTTTCTAATGTAATATATATGTATTTTATGGCATATTTCCTTTTAGGATTATTATAGTGACTAAAAATGGCTTTATATGCCATTTTATAATAAGAGATGGCCCAGACTTATAATAGAATGAAAAAGCAAGAGGATTAAAAACTTGTGGATTGAGAATTATCTGACACATATGCATATTAGCGAATTGTGGTTTTTGGCACTGACTTCTTACTTATGCAGATATATATTTATTTTTTTAGTAACTGTTTATAGTTCATTGGAATCCTGCACATAGTTTTTTTTTTTTTTTTTATTGGGGGATTCTTTTAGATAATCTTGTTCAAATGTTAAAATGTCACCCTTTTAAAGGAATGGGGATGCTCTGAGTAAACTAGTGGTTTTAAACTGATTATTTTTAAAGAAACTTGATATGTATGTATACCAGAGTTACTTTTAAAAGTGTTTCCAATCGGCTTGCTCTAATGCTCCCTAAAAACCATTTAATTGGTGTGAAGATGGATAAAGTACTAAAAAAGATTTCTTCTAAATCTTATCACTAAATGTTACCACTTAGGCTAGGAACTTGAGTATTATATTTGAATTCTACATCTCCCTTGTTCTTCATATCCAGTTATTAGTAGGCCCTGTAATTTTTACTTCAGCAGTGGTTCCTTTTTTTAATTCCCAGAGCTATTATCCTATTTACAACCGCATCATTCTTTGCTTGTACTATTAAACCTCAACTGATTTTTTTCTATTCTCCAAACTACTCTTCATGAAGGTCGGTCATATTATCTTCACTCCTGAAAAAGTCAATAGTTACTCATTTTCAGTTCTTAGGTTTTCAGGTACCCTCCCATAATGTGATTCTTTCTCTCTTTATGCTTCAATTGTTAACACTTGTTCTGTAACTCCCACCCCTCCAGATAATTGCCTTCTCTAAACTTACTGGTTGTGTACTTCCATGCTTTTACTTATGCTCTTACTCTAAAATACTTTTAATTACTCTTTCTTTCTCTATTGAAATCTTACTCTTTTGCCAACTAAATTGGAATCAATCCCTATTTTCTACTACGTAGTCACAAGTTGCATTTCCATTCCTACTATAAAATTTTGCATTATTTCTGTTTATATGTTTCTTACTGGAATAAGGGAGTGATCATGTATTAATATTTTTTAATTTCTCCACAACACTTAATATAATACTTTTTATATAGTAGGTTAAGGTCACTATTTGTTAGATGAATAATAAAGATTTATAACATAATTTGTTTTTCATAAATTGAAAAAAGAGGTATATTACAGATCATTTTATTCCTTCTTATGAATTCGCATCACATTGACGATTAGTCATAATAACTACCTGATATTTAGAAAGCTTATCAGAAATTTTAAAAATTACAGTATTTTTTTTGTTCTATTTTGACCTTAGCAGCTCATTAACCCATTATTTTGAGCAAAATACACTACTCTTATACTTCCTATAATATTTGATCCATGTCTGATGCTTTTTTTCCTTTAATGGGTATTTTGGTTTCCACTATTACTTAAATATTTTAATTGGAATAAAAAATACATTATTTGAATACTAAAAAGTTCCTACTTTTGAAAATTAATTCTTCAAGTTTAGAATCTGAGATAAAAAGTGGTAGTTTGTAACTGAACTAGCCTTCTGCGTTTTAGAGTATGGAGGACTTGGAGAAGAATCATGATAATCTACTTACTGGTGCACAAAATGAACTTAGAAAAGAAATGGCTATGTTGCAAAAAAAAATTATGATGGAAACTGTAAGTAATTTTAAATTGAAAAAAATGAGTAATGCAAGCATTGAAATATTTTATTTGCTGAAATATGTATAACACTTATCTAAAAATTAAACAAATGTTTAATATTTCCTTTCATGTAACAGCAGCAGCAAGAGATGGCAAGTGTTCGAAAGTCTCTTCAATCCATGTTATTCTGATGACTCTTTGAAGGAAGAACTTGAACCTAAGTAATATGATACAATTATAACATTAGCTATGAGACATGTAATTCTTTTAGAGTGGTTTAAAATTTCTAGTTTAAAATAATACATCCTGTTAATTGTTAGCTTAAGTGCAAGAACCCTCCTTCTGTTAACCTTCACATAAAGCTGAACAGTTATGTGAGTAGTAGCAATTCCTAAATTATATATACCAAGCTTCCAGCTCTTTAATAGTTAATAGTGAATTTTTCTCTTTAATACTTGTCAATTAACTTTTAGCAATAAAGATGATTTAATTTCAGGTTTTGGCTTCTTTAGTGTATTTGTATTAGTCCCAAAGGGACTATAGAAGGTTACACTGTTCTTCTTTGAGAAAAAATATACAAAATATATGTTATATGTACATTCTACTGTATATACTTAAGTTACACAGCCAATTCTAACTTCAAAAGAAAATCTATTCTATTGACTTATATAATTTATTAAAAACAACCCAAGTTTGTGTTCTGAAATAAATTAAACTACTAAAAACCATTAAGAAAACCAAACAAGATATATAAATATCAGTTTTAAGACATGGATTTGTGACTATGTCATTTCCACAAAGACCTCAAAATGCGTTTAATTGGGCTTGGTCCACAATTAAATGACACATGCCCTTAGTAATGATTAAAAGCATATCATTAACATACTTAATTACTTATGGTTTAAATACTTCACATCTGTCTTTAAATTACCTAGAAAATATTTTGTTTTTCAGTTTTAATATTCAGTAATATGGAAGTTTGATTACATTCATTTCTAAACTTGAAGTTAACTTTATACCTTGTTACTAAAAATCTGCATTTTTTAAACATAGAATAACATGAAACACTAGATTTAATAAATATTAAATCATTTCAGCATTTGTTTGAAATATGTCAGCTAAACTTATTATTTTTTGCTGAAATTGCTTTCGTTGAATCATTCAAAACAAAAAATATCCCCATTAGGAGGAGAGGATTGGTTTTCTTCTGTTTTTTCATGTTGTAAATTCTAATTTTTGCCCCTATAACCCACCTTTACCTTAGTTTTAAGGTTTTCCAAGTTTTATTTTTTATTTATTTATTTTTTAAGATTTTGTTTATTAATTTGACAGAGAGACAGCAAGAGACAGAACACAAGCAGAGGGAGTGGGAGAGGGAGAAGCAGGCTTCCCACTGAGCAGGGAGCACGATGGGCTCGATCCCAGGACCCTGGGATCATGACCTGAGCCAAAGGCAGATGCTTAATGACTGAGCCACCCAGGCGCCCAGGTTTTCCAAGTTTTAAAAAGGAAGTCCATACTGATCTCTTTTTTTTTAATATGACAACTTAGAAGAAATTAATGATTATCTAACATTAAGGAGCCAGTTCCTAATTTTGTAAAGGACTTCTTTAAAGCCAAAGTTTATGTTGGAATATAAATCTCAAGTACCATTCAAACACTTGAAAAAGTTCTGAGTTTGAGTTAAAGTTAGAAGCAAAGTAAGTACTCCAGAGTGGTTTCTGTGTACTTAATTCACATATTTTTTCCTTTCAAGGAATATCAACTTTCACTATTTTTTCAATATGCCTTTTTATTGCTTAAGCTATAGTATGTGTTCATTACTCCTTTTTTTTTTTTTGATTATTTCATCATATGGCTTATGGTCTACAGAACTGTTAGACAAAATTAAAAGTAAGGTAAGATGGGGAGTCTGAGTCACAAAGATCCTTATAATAGTTCTAATATTCATAATGATTAACATAAATACTTTTAAGTGAGAGTGGAAAGATAAGAATCAGTACATAATGTATTTGGTGATGGGATGACTGACATTTATATTATCCCCCTTTCCTCATGAATCGTCTTTTTGAGATAACTTTGGCTGATAGTCTAAAGGGAAGATATTTTTGCCATGTTGTCATAAATTACTAATTTTCTTTTAAAAAATATTTGAGAGAGTGAGTGAGCGAGAGAGCAGGAGGTGATGGGGGTAGGGGGAGAATGAGTAGGCGGAGAGGGAGAGGCAGGCTCCCTGCTAAGCAGGGAGCCTGAAAACCTGGGCTGATCCCAGGACTCTGGGATCATGACCTGAGCGGAGGCAGACGCTTAACTGACTGAACCACCCAGGCACCCCATAAATTACTAATTTTCTTATAACAACCTTGCTTTAGCTACTTTTTTATGTTTCATAAAAGGGGATCTTTAATGTCCACTTTTTTTGTGACAATGAAACTTTAACTTAGAATATCAGGGAATGATGTATAAAGATTTCATTTGTTTTTCTGAACTGGTAAGACAAATTCCTTTTACTAAATTATAAAAAATTCCCATAGCCCTTTTAAATTCTAGTTGCAAACAAGTATTTCCTTTTATATGATAGTAATTAACATAACTTGAAAAATGGCTAATTAAAAAACACCATTTCTTATAACATTTGACTCAGTAATTACAGTATTACAATCCATGCACTTAGGCAGTATTATGAACTCACTTGTCAATTTTTTGCAATTGAAGTAAGCATCAACCTTAAGATGGCTAAAATCCTTTAAAGCCCTGAATTTTTATGTAATCCTTTAGCAATAAAAACCCCGAGTCCTGATAAAGATTTTTGAGACAGACTGATCTTTAGAACTATAGAGGTTTACTTTCTTGTCCTCAGAAAATTGAATTTTTTCCTTTGATTTTGTTTTTAATTTATAGATTGTAATACTCTGATAATACCTGTGATCAAAATTTTGATACGCAATGAGGGCTTCATAACTGAAATAAACATAATGGAATCTATAGGACTTAATATTTTATATTCAAATATAACCTTATTTATTGTATACTAGCCTCCTGCAAAGGGGAATTTCCTTCACTCATAGGTTCCCCTAACTGCTTCTCCTCTTTTCCTTGGGCTATTAGTCAATATGCTTGTGAACCTGTTCAGGTGCTTCATGATATGAAGTCTTGAAGATATTTAGATGAAGGTGTCTTGAAATTTGCAGGCACAAAGCACTAAAGTACATCATCATATCAAATGAAGAAATGACCTTTGGAAGCAAAAAAAAAAAAAATGAAATGTATTATGGTCTATCTTTTCTGAAGCAGCAGATATTTTTCTGTTCCCCACTTCCCACCCCCTCAGATCTCAAACCTTAACCTAAAATTCTTCAACGAAAATACTACATTTTAGAGTACTTTCATATATTTCATATTTGGACCTCACTAAAATGCTCTGGACCATGCAAGGTATTTCACAGATATGAACTCAGAGTGGTAAAAGTCCTAGACAAAAATACAAAAGCTGGGAGGTAACATAATTGGTCTTCTGACTCCACATTCTTTAAATTTTCTGCTGTGCAACAAAGCCATAAATTTTCTATTAGAAGGGTTACCAGTCACTATTAATAAAATCATTCCATCATACACATTTCTTTTTCCCTTGAGATAGTTGTAAGAAAGTAAAGGCCTGGAAAAGACACCTTAGTTGAGGGGAGGCATATACAAAATTGTGTTGAACACAAAATTAAGGAGGAAGGCACACTCTAAAAAGTTTACCAAAGACCAGGAGCAAATACTTCCTTTCAGAGAGGGAGGCTCACAGCTCTGTCAGTGGAGAGGGAATTCGCACCCATTAGAGGAAAACCTCCCCCATATCATTTACTTGAAAAGCTCTATCTGACCCTTTTCTCTCTGAAGTAAGAAACTTTTCTGTAAGGATGCTAAATGGCACATTATGTTTTGTTTGGTCCACATAAGTGTTTTCTGTTGTTTTAAATTGTGGTCCACATAGTGTTTTAGAGAAAAATGCAATTCGCTTTCCTCACCATAATCTCTACCACAGGCATAAACTAGGCCAACTCACTCACTACAAAATAGGTGCTTGAATTTTTAACACCTGGTTTTTTAATTATGTTAAACAATTCCATTTGGTAATATATATGCAAGCTTAGTAAAAGAAACCCTACATTGAATTTTCAGATATTTTGAATAATCACCCCCTATTTCTTAAATTTAGATTGTTTTGGAGCCCTAAAAATATGTATACTGGATAGGAAATTATTCTGATTTTCAAACACTTTTTAGACTATTGCCTGAAAAACTTCCAAGGATTAAGATTTACATCTCACCACCATTTGAAGAATGGAAGACTTTTGAATAGGCCATGGATGGATGTTAAACTATTTACTCCAGAGAAAAAAATTCTATAGAACCTAGTATAAAGAATCATCAGATGTACTCCTGGTCTGTGCACAGAACAGGTATATTTTCGTGCCTCAGTCTATAGTTAGTGCCTATAAATAGGGTAGATTATTCAAATTATTAAGAGATTCACTGAAGATTTCTTTTAGCACACTTTAATATGTGTTTATGTGTCACTAACAATTAGGTGAAAGCCATTGAGGTCCAAAGGTAAGGGAAAACAGAGCAAAGTTGTTCAGAACCACCATTAATTGAAGACCATAATAATGTCTCAATAAAATAAAAAACTGAATAATGCTCCCTTTATCCATGTTTGTAATTAAGGTGTTACCAACAGTGATTTTCTTTTCCTCAGATGGCTAGGGCTCTCTTAAGCACATAATTTTGTGTTTTATAATCATTTTGAATAGAAACTAATATATGTATTATCTGTACCACTTTTTTTTAAGTTTCTTTTTTTTTTTTAATGTTTTATTTATTTATTCATGAGAGTCAGAGAGAGAGAGGGAGGCAGGGGGAGAGGGAGAAGCAGGCTCCCGGCCTAGCAGGGAGCCCGATGCGGGACTCAATCCCAGGATCTTGGGATCACGACCCGAGCCGAAGGCAGACGCTTAACCATCTGAGCCACCAGGCGCCCATCTGTACCACTTTCTTAAGCAGGACACAGTCAATGAGAATTTAACCTTTGCTTGATGAGTCATTATTGATGTAAGTTATGCACTGTCCTCAAGAGCCAAACAGATATATCAGGTTGTTTACTTCTAGCACAAAATGGTCCCAGAATCCTGAATTGGTAGTATTGTCTTTTCTGTTTCATTTCTTCAGTATTAGCTGACAGTTCTTGATGCAATAAATGCCCACATGTTCTAACACTAATTCCATCTAATATACCTGTTACCTGCTATAAGCTCAGAATAATTCTAACAAGCTTGATTAAGTAAAAGTCAGACACCTAATAAGTATTTGCAGTTCTCTGGGCAGAGTGAAGTGATTTTTGACATCTCTGTATTGTTTTTGGTGAGGGAGAAAGATGTATTTTTAAAGTACACAATTGGGTTTTTAAGAATTTAAGTTGCTGGAAGCCTGATCTCCAGATAATCTGG